ACAAGTAGAAAGAGGAGGACTTGAGAAAAATGAAAAGAAGAAGGGAACAAAGGCATAGGAAATTAGACGAGCAACACAAGGATGAGGGGATGAAGAGATATTAGAAGCATGAGAGAAAGAAGAGAGGGAAACCAGATAGAAAATGAGGAGGAGAAGAATAGCAAAGAAATGGTATACAAGAAAAATGAGGAGAGCGGGCAGCATGCATGGAAATATATAGGCAAAATTATTTCAGACTGTAATCGGTCCATAAAATAATCAATGGACATCCAGTTCCCAAAATAAAAATTTTGAATGTAGGGGAAATTTTTGGCGGTTGATTATTTCAGACCGTTATTGGTTTGAAAATTGTCAAAAAAAGATAAATAAAAAAATTTTCGAATTTAAAATTTTAGTAGAAATAGGCGGCAAACCTATTCAGACCAAAGTTGGTCTAAATAATAAAACCTCAAAAAAGGAAAAAAGAAAAACAAATCAAAACATAGAAATATGAAAAATATATTTAATAAAAAGGAAATGTAATATTTGGACCACTGTTGGTCCGAATTAGTTTTCCGAACCAACAGCAGTCTGAATATGTGCAATAGAAAAAAAAAAAATTTTTTCCCAAACCATGCAAGATTTGTTCTACTCCCGTTCAAGTAACATGCTCTAAAAGTCCTGAATGTCATAGAATCAAGCCTTAAATTTAGCAATACCAACCCTACATGTTTTCAGTTTATGAACGGCATAGCATAACCTTAAAAGTAATGCTGTTAACTCTAGGTGTTTGCGATTTTGCAATGATGGTTCATTCTACCATCATGTAGCCATTTTGAGAGGCTAACTTATTATGTCGAGGTTATGAGTGACTATAGTAATGAATTGCATGCATTGGTTTTGGTGGAAATAGAATCGGGGCTTGTTTCGGCCGGATTGTCCTTAAATGAAAAGAATGAAAAAGTTTCACAACAGAAACTTCTAGATTTTGCTACACTTATTCAGACTACTATTGGTCCGAATAAGTTTTTCAAACCAACCGTGGTCTGAATATAGGCAATAGAAAATTTTTATTTTATTTTCCCTAAACCATTCAAAATTTGCTCTACTCTCGATCAAGCAACATGCTCTAGAAGTCTTAAATGCCATAGAATCAAGCCTTAAAATTAACAATACCAAGCGTACATGTTTTCTATTTAATAACGATGTGGCATAATCTTAAAAATAATGCTATTACCTCTACGTGTTTGCGATTTTGCAATGATGTTGCATTTCGCCATCATGAAGCCATTTCAAGAGGCTAACTTTTCATGTCAAAGTTAGGAGCGACTGTAATAGTAAAGTGCACACATCTAGTTTTGGTAGAAACAAAATTAGGACTCATTTTGGTCGGATTGTCCTTAAATGAAAAGAATGAAAAAGTCTAAACAAGGAAGTTTCTAGATTCTGTTCCACATATTTGAACCACTGTTGGTTCGAATATGTTTTCCAAACCAACAATGATTCGAATATATGTAGCAAAATTCTTTCTTTCTTTTTCCCCCAAACTGTGCAAGATTCGTTCTACTCCTGTTCAAGTAACATGCTCTCAAAGTCTTAAATGCCATAGAATCTAGCCTTAACATTAGCAAAACCATTTCTACATGTGTTTGGTTTGGGAACGGCGTGGCATAACTTTAAAAGTAATGCTGTTAACTTTATGCGTTTGTGGTTTTGC